TGCACCTTTAAGATTTCCTTCTTGAAGAATGTCCAGCCTTCCTGGACCCCTTTGCCCTTCAGGACTGCCTCCCAAGGGACTCTGTCAACCAGGCTCCTAAACAGGCCAAAGTCCGCCCTCCAGAAGTCCAAGGTAGCAGTTCTGCTGACCCCCTCCTTACTTCTCCAAGAATTGAAAACGCTACCATTTCATGATCGCTATGCCCAAGACGGCCTCCAACCATCACATCACCCACAAATCCTTCTCTGTTCACAAAGTCAGAAATCTCAGTGCCATGTCAATCCAAAGGAGGTATTTTTTTCTTTGAAACTTGTTCTCAGAATATTCCTTCTGAACACTGAAACCATATGAAAAGAAAGTCTCAACTCCTTTATGCTGTGAGTGAGGTCTGAAGGAACCTGTAAAACAGTTCCAATATATGTTCAGTTCACTTGAAGTACTTTGTGTTATTAAAAGAGGTATCTGAAACCCGAAGAGATGCTGTTTATAATTGTTGAGATGAATGTACGTAAGAACATCTGCAATATTTTCTTGAACTTACTGTTTCTAATTATTTCAGCTCTAAAAAGGCAATTGTTTTCATATATTGTATTAGATTAGTCACTATGTATCAAGACATGCAATTTGAAAAGATCCCTTTCTGAACAAAGTATACCAATTATGCTTCATTTTCTACTTTCCACTTTACAGTTTTAATTTTCTTGAAAATTAAATATAATTGCTTATAAAACCAATGAAACTATTCGTCAGTTGTATTTCTCTGAAAATTGTATTTGTAGTGGATAGCACTGACGTATCTGAAGAGTCTCATTACTGATAGCATAGTTAGTTAAGGTTAATTCTAAGGTTATTGAAACTACATAAATTGAGATTTATTTAATGTGCAGGCTTTCTAGAATATTTGAGCATTAGGAGGAGAAATACTCCAGTTAGAGATTTAGGTGGATGTAAACTGTGATATGACTCAGTGGTAAATTGCATGTTCTTAAGTCACTGGAAGTCTTAGAAAGTGCTTTTTGATTTCTAAGTAGCATTTGGTGTTTCAAAATTACTTCCATGACAGAAATAGGTAAAGCTTATACTATAAGGAGTTAAATTCACGTTAACAGATAATTTTATTCTTAATATGGCAGCTTACTCTAATGTCAGTTCTGGAGAGCAGTCCAGCAACTTAGTTAAATATTTCCCAGGCCTTCACCATAACGTGTTAGTACTAGTCAGTTGATAAGGAATGTGGACCCATGCAAATGGATTACTAAAATGTAACTACGCTTTTTCTTCAGTCCGTACTTGAAGTCTTCCTTCGGTTCTATGTGTCACAGGCATTCCTATGAGAATGTAAAGGGTTGAACGGGTGAGGCTCAGGAACTGATGTGTTTGTGCAGGGCAGGGACCAGGGAAAACCTTTAAAAGCACTAGATATTGCCCTGATTGATTGTTTTTGAGAGAAAACTTGAGTCCATTGCAGAAATAGTCAGAAGCCTGAACTGTTAGGGTTCCTGGATGACCGTTTTAAAACCTGAGTCTTCATAAAACCACAACGGCAGGCAGGTAATTAGAGAGGGAGTAGCTTATTTCTTTTGAAGGGATTCAGATATTTATAAATCTGGGAAGACTCCAGAATTATACATTTCCTTGCCATTAGAATTTACAAATAAATGATAGTTCCCATAAAATATTTAAGTATACTGAAAATTAGACATAGACATGCAATATCTGTAAGAGGACAAGCTCTGTGATTTCTTTAAAACATTGCAAGTTAGACATCTGAAATATGGTAAAAAGTCCTAAATACTTGGATCAGAACTGACTAGAATCTGAAACCAGTAAATAAAAAAAAAGTTGATTTCATTGACTTTGTTCTATAAACAGATTGTGTTTTGTTACAGTTGCTTCCTTAGACAGAGAAAAACACAACAGACTATGTCAGCAAAGTGCTTGTGATGCGTCTCATAGACTAAACAAGGTACAGTAGATGGAAGAATAAAAAGGCAACTAACATAATAAGCTACTCTCACAATAAAGTATAATAATGTAAAAAATGAAATATACTTTGTTTAGTAAATTAATAAATCAATATAAAAGTTTTAGTGGATATAACATTTGTATCAGTTAAAATTGCTAATACTCTATTGCCGTTATGGATAAGGCAGATCACACTATCAATCTATATTAAAGACAGTATATTAAGAGTATGAAAAGTGGCAAGACAATCGGGAAATTTTGAACATGTGCTATCTTATAAATATCAAACATGCTGTTTTGCAATGGGAGTGCCTTTCCATCACTTCAAAGTGATTTTATTATTGATCTGGCAGAATTTTAGCTACTTGAAGGTGTTTGGCTTTTACAGTAGAGAACCAGAAGCCACAGTCTTGCTTACTAGGTTGACTGTTAATTCAGAGGTTCTTAAAGGGGAAAAGAGAAAGGGGAAGGGAAGTACAGGAGGATTACCAAGAAATAGCAGGTATGCAAATCATCCCATGCAAATCATGCTTTGGGATTCCAGTGAAGGGGTGAGGGAGTCTAAAATAACATTGTACTCATTAAGCAGCTTCCATCCTGTACACTGAAAAAAACCCTAAATTTGTGGGGAAAGCTCATGATCAAAGTTCATCTTTTTCATACAGACAAGACGATCAAATTAAGAGAGCATGAATAAATTCGGTTTTGTCAATTTGTGTGTGTACTGAACCTTGCAAGCCTATTAAAGATTTTTTTTTGCTTTTTCTTTTTAGCTTTCTACATATATAATCCCTGTAAACAAATGAAGCACTGTCTGGATATGAAGCATTGATACTTTTTACTGTTAGACTTTGTCAGGTGGCTAATGGGTCTATTTTTTGTTACATATTTTATATATTTTAGCCAGTTAGAAGTCACATTTTTAACTACTATGACTTAAAATCTTTAATATTCCAGTGGAAGAGACTTCATAAAAAATGGTCCAAAATTCCAGAGAAAATATTTTTAAAAATAAACATTGCCTTTGGCTAGGGAGATGGACTAGCTGAGATGGAATAGAGCTCCCTTGTATCCTAACATTTCTGTGATTCTGTGCTGCTGGTTCTGCACTGATTCAAAGGAATGTTTTTCCTGTCTAGGATTGTATTTGTGCAAATCTTTTTGAGTAAGGGAATTAGTCTTTGGTGACATTATTTGATTGATATAATAATAATAATAATCCCCTTGTTTAACTTGGCTTAGGACACCTTTGACATTTTCTTTTTATTGATCAGAAATAGCTAATAAAGGTGGAAAGTATGTCTGAAATATAAGTGAACCTAAATAATAGTACCTATGTAGATGGGAAAGCTGCAAGTCTATTGATGTTGGGCTACAGATGTCTAGTGTAGGCAAAATTGCCATGGATTAGCTTTTAAAGTTCTATTTGTATAATCCTGAACACTTTCAAAGACATTGCATTAATTGATCAAGGTTTAGCTAAATTAAAACCAACATATCCAAGAATATCAGATTGTCCTCCTGTTTCCATTCAGCTACAATCAAAAGATTTAGTGGTACATCCTTTAAATCTTAATCCTAACTCATACTCACGTTCTTTTGTCTTTTCTTGTATTCTGACCTCTTTCCATCAAAGATTCTGAAAAAATATTGTTTCAATTTAGGCAAAACACCTTATAGAGAGATTTTTTAAGCAGCAAGTGGAAATTAGCAGGAAAAGTTCTGAACCGTTGCCTGAAATATACTACATTGAAGGTACTCTGCAAATGGTATGGGTTGATCGCTGCTATCCAGGGTATGGAATGAATGCTCTAACACATCCAGACTGTCCAGAGTGTTGTGGTAAGTGACAAATTCATCTATCGTACAAAGTATTAAATATTGTTACAATGTTTTTTGCTCTGATCGAACTCAGTACTTTGCTATTTAACTTTATAAAATCGTTATGCCATACTATTTTGGGCTGGTCAAGGTAACCAGTACTAGATCAGGTTAGTACTTGGGTATAACTTTCATAAGACCTTGTTGATTTAGATTTTAAGCCAGACCTACACTTTCTATGGACTGATTTAAACTAAAATCAAGCAGATTAAGTTCAGACCTCTAGATAGCAGTGGGGTTTTTTAGAGTTAGCATAGGAAATCTGTAATCTGACAAGGTATGGTTCAAGTGTTGTTTACGATGAGACAAACGACAATTATTTTTGTTCTTAAATTTATGAAAGGGGGCATAATAATGCAATGCTTTCATCTAATTACAAACTTAAATGCTACATTCCAGATCTGAGTAAAGTAAGAATAATAGATAAAATAATCGCTCTGCATAGCTTTGCAAAATAAAGTTAAATTTATAAATATTTGTGATCCATTTGGAAGAATAAGGAAAGGGGGGAAATGATTTCTGGTAATTTTATTTTTGTCAGTTCTCATACTAAAATGAGTGATACTACCCTCCTTAGATGCTAAGGAGTGGATCGGTGTTTTAAAGAGTGGCTTTGCTAGATTGCATTTCGCCCAAGAAAAGGTTATTCATACGATTCCCAAATATTGAGCCTGAAGTTTCAAGGGAACAATGGAAGACAAGACACATAGCGAATAAATCTGTAGTCAACCTTTTGGCAGAGATGATTCCCTACAGACCTAGAAATGGTGGAAGAAAACACTGGATTACATACTGAACGACAGTTTACAGAATGGAATACACTTTGAAAAGAAATAGTAAGAATAGGGAAGAAAATAGAGACACCTCTAAAATTGCAGGACACGTGAAATGTTTCCATATGTGATGTTTTTTTCCAATTTGTTGTCTTCATCAGAAGGAACTTAAATTTTTTGGTCCATGTCTTCCAGCAAAAAGTGACAAATATCTGGAAGGGATATATATAAATATCAAATTTATTACATTTATTGTAATACAGAATATTGTTGCACATGATTTCAAGGAAAGATACATGAAAATCAAGTTTAGAAAAGCATGTCTTCTTTAGGATGATTTGTTTTGTACAGACTGCAATTCTGCTTTCCCCCAGAATATCTTACTCCATTCTAAACTAATTTGTATTCCTTTTTTCCTCAAAACACAACTTTGTCTTAGCTCTGGTGGCTGTTTAACATAAGTAGTAAAAAATAATACTGTTTTCTTGGCTGCCATGCTCCTTTACCTCCTGCACTAGACAGAAACACTACATAGCCCTACACCAGTGTCAACCCAAGAAGCTGATCCCTGTTCAGCTGGGATCCTAACAGACACCTCTTTGGCAGATACAGGGGCAAGCTTTCATATCTGAGGTACCTAAGAATCTGAAACAGTCAGGCCTGAAATTTGACTGATTACTACTTCCCATAGTTGAGGATGTCATTCTGTCAGCATGCTCAAACATACGCTCTTTTCCTTAGTTGACCTCTTGGTAAAACTAGTAATTTCCTTTCCTAGAATCCAAAACACCCTATCATAGGCAGTAAAACTGAAAGGGTCCTCTGCTTATTGTTCTACCTCAAGGCAAGATATAAGCTTCAGTTATTCCTGACAGATGTATCCTGCATAATCTTTAAAACCTCAGAAGACTACATAGACTCCCAAGGAAACATAACTCAACACTGCACAACCTCACCATTGGAAAGCTTTTTTCTAAGATATTTATGTAATTTCCCTTGAAGTAGTTTATACCTGTTACTTCTCGTTCTGTCTCAGTAAATCTGGAAACGATTCTGTTTATCTTTGAAATAGCTTTTCTATATCCTAGAAGACTGACCTTTTTTTTTTTTTCTGATATTGTCTTCATTGAACGAAACCACCTCAAGTTCAGTCTTTTTGGTCGTGTTTGATAGACCTCTGTTCAGCCTGATTACTGTCCACTGTAAGTTCTCTACATTTGTTTTCAATGCCCCAAATTTCATGCAGTAGTTCTCAGGAGACGATGCTAACATGGGAGAATTAGTTGTGAATTGCTAAAATCCCTAGATTACTTAAACAGAAAATAAAATATTTTCCCTGTATCTTTGTTAGTGGGGGAGCTTTTTCCGAAACATGCACTTACTCATAGAAACATTTTGATAAACACATTTCCATGGTAGTATGGCAGCATTCAACTTCTTGGGTTATCCAATAGTTTCCCTTGTAGTTGCAGGAACAAGGTCCTGTAATCCAGTTAGAACAGTTTTAAGGTCCATTTCAGAGCTTTTTGGGAGTTTTGGTCTCTTTAGCTACTCTTGCTTTGTAGTTAGAAGATCAAGCTTTCAATCTAAATTAATTAATGGGAAGTTCATACTCATTTGCCCTGCTGGGGAGAATGCCCTTTAGCTTAAGTAGATTTTTTTTTTTGTCTCCTATTTTATAATCAGAACAAGTCAACTACTTCCTTTCTGCTTTTTGTAAGAGTTTGCATTCAGCAAACCTGTATCTCACATGCCCCATTTTGAGTTTAATATTCTTGCACAGGGGTGAGTAGAATTTAACATGGTATTTCAGATGAGCTCTTATCAGTGCCTTTTACATCATTAGTGCTTTTCTTTTGGTCCCAAGAACCTCTCTCTCAAGTCATGTAACACTACCACGCTTCCCCTTTTCATTGTGACTGATCGTGCTCACAGTCCTCTTTAATCAAACAAATATACAGGCCTTTCTCATTGTGTTATTTCTTCCTGCCTATTTAAATCTTGTCCTTACTCACATCTTCTTCCAGTTTTTTTGTCAGCATAGTTCATTGGGACTTTTTCTGATAATCTTGTTAGTGGAAATACTTAGTAAAGTCTGTCTAAGAGCAAGCTCACGAGTAATCCCTTTAGCAATTTCTCTCCAACTCTTATTTCCCTTTTAAGCATCATTCAGTACTCTTTTTTAAATTTTATTCTAATCGTAGTCTTCTGTAGTTTTATTACATTTGTATGTGCTGCCATATCAGGTGCTTTCAAATTGATTACGTGTTTATCTTCATTGTAAAACAACATCAAATTGTACTACTTTCCGCTTACCTGCATGCGTTTCAGCATTCATTCATTAAATCTTTACATAGTATAGAAGTCTGATCAGCTGTTCTGTGGTTTCATGGATTCTTTTTTCCTTTTCTGAAAAATTTATAACACATTTCTTACCAGTCATAGATTAGCACCAGTCATAGGGTATTGCTGCAGATACATTGCAAACCTCAGATTATCATCTGAGGGCCAGTTCCGTTTTGGAACATGGAGACAGATATTACTCAGACTTTCTAATTTAAGTACATTAAACTTTGAATAGTGCGACTGTTTCTAGTCTCCGGGTCTTGATGAGGATATGACAGAATGGAAAAGGTTATGGAGTAGGCCCGAGAACATGGAGAACTAAAAAAAACTATGCCTATCCTCTGCAGGTTTCATAAACAAACCTACTCCATTTTTACTTCTCATACAGCAAAACAGTTGGATGTTCAGTTACACCTGTTCTCTTTCCTCTATTATTTTTAGAGTATCTAGTTTCATGTAGTGTTCTAGTAGTTCTGGTTCCTCCACGCTGTTGTGCAGTGCTCTGTGAACAATGCATCATTTATTTCACACTGCCATCACACAATTTGTGCACTAAGCATAACCCTTTCACCTGCTGCATCATCTACCAATCTAAATCTCCTGTATTAGAACTTGCATTCGTTTTTTTCCCCATGCTTCAGTCTCATGTTCTTTTATATCATACTATATCCTCATTTGTTTTTCCCCCCCTCTGCTTTTATATTAAAATGGCATTAAATATTGAGCTATTGTCTCACCTTCTACTCCCATTTTCTAGTCTAAATCTCTTTCTGAATTAGTCAATTAAACATGTTAACCTGATTAGTCACTGTGTGATGTATCTATCTTTAGAGAAATCTTTTTGGCAGAAAACACTGGTGGTAAAACATAGCAAAATTTTGTTCATCAGGTACCAGATAAGCCTCAGGCTGAACCCTTTACTGAGTGATTTTGTAGAGGCAATGACTTAAAGACATGGAGTTACTGCTGATTAATAATTCCATTTAGTCTTCTGCCTCTGTAAAGCAGTCTTGAATAAACAGAATTGATGAGTACAAACATCTTAGAAATTATTTCATTTGATTTTATCTTGATTTTAATGTTTTTCTGCTTTTAAAGCCCTGTTTTATGTTAAATAAAGCACATTATTCCAGGATAAGTTAATTAAATATTTTGGCAACAGCTACATGAGGTATGATCCACCATTAAATTTTACTTAACATACGCAATTGAGTCACTTTCACATCATCAAAACTTCTAAATATCATTTTTCTGGTTTATAAATCTATTTTTTTTGTTTTAGGGTTTTTTTTTTTAAATCAGATGCAGCTGTGAGATTAATACAGTACAGAATGTCCTATGTTTCTTAGGGCTTCTCTGGAGAGACAATTTGGTATCATACCCTGTACTAGCTTTATGAAATATTTTTTATCCTGTATTATTATTCTGCAGAGCTTGATTTCTGTAGTATTTTTAGTAGACTAGATACTGAATAGTCAGTTCTAATTTGGTTTTCTTCAGTTCTTTCTCACCGCATGGTGATTATTTATATTACTGAAACATAGTAACTTGAAAATTCAAAAGGAAATACATTATTCAAGAGAATATTGAAATAGTCCTAAAAATCAGAAGCGAGTGCAAAATACTAGTTAGCTTATAGGATACAAGAACAAATTAAGACATTGTGTGCATTTCAGTTTGTGAGGTGTGAAGTGGCAAGTATATAAACTATGCTGCTAAAGATGTAGAATATTTTGCTAAGATGTTTATACTTTCAAAGTGAAGGTATACCAATAGGAGTTTTCCATTAGTGAAAAGATTGAAACAAGTTAAGTTTGCCGGTTAAAGAAGCTTTCCAGCAGCTGGCTAAATAAGCTACAGGTCCCTACTTCAGAAGATTCCTTTCTCTTTTTCATGCTTTCTGCTAGATAGCAAACAGATGACGCCTCTGAGAAATAAACTTTTTATCCCGTTGTAAGAGAAGTCTACCTTGCTCCAATTAAGTAAACTGAAAATTCTGAAGGATTTACTAGAAGTGTGCCTATAATCTTCAATAAAAAGAGTAGAATTTTTCCTCCGTACACAAGATGATTGATTTTCCAGTCAGAAAGGTTGGAAAATGCCTTTAGTTACATGTATTTGTAAAGCTTTCTCTTTCCCATAAAGCCATCATGGTCTGCCTATACTAATGTACAAAAAAGGCAAGGTTTTGACATCATCTGCAGAGGACTCCTTCTCTCTTACATTTCATAAGACCTCTGAAACCCTCTTCAGTCAGTAACAGTGGCAAAAAATGCTAGGCAAGCTAGTAACAGCCACTGGGGATCAAGTGAATCCTGCCAGCCTCAACAAACGAAGATAAACCAAACCAAATACTGAAAATCCTGCCGAAGGTTTGTGCAGTAGTGACTAAGAAGTCATTACTAAGCCAGGCAAAACTCAATAACCAGGTAAGTGCCGATTCTGCAAAAGGAAGGAAGGTCTTAATTACCTTTGTGTACTGAATACTAATGCTGTTAATTAAAGATCTATCCTAAAGAAAGGCTACCATTGCAAAGTTGAAGTATGATTCAGGATAGTCATAACCAAATAGATAAAATTCTGCTTTTTTCTGCCAAGAGCATAATGCTGAGTTAGTCTTTTGTGATGAAGTCATTCTGCAGATGACTGTACAGACTTCATCAAATGGCGTAACACGATCCAACAGGAAAAAAATGTTTCATTCAGAACATACACTGATTTCTGGTTTGATGTAGTATTTTTGCATTACTGCTTAATAATTATCAGAAATTAGATTTCAACTTTGTCTTGTATTACTTATACAATCTGCTATTGCAGTTTATTTAAAACATTATTGGATAAAGGCCATATTAAAATGTAATTGAGGGACACATCCCCTGTAAGTAGATGGAGTGAAAAGTGATGAAGAGAAAAATACGGTGTAATAAATAGATGATATATAAAATATATACGATTTTTTCATCATCAACTAGCAGAATGCTGGGAAAAAATCTGATCTTTTTTTCAAATAGGTAAAGATGCATTCTAAACATTTCAAATGTAAATATTTTTTTATTAATATCACTTAAATTCCACATTTTTCCCTTGGTTTTTTTTGTCCATAGTTGTATGCAGCCCAGGATCATATAATCCTAGTAATGGAATTCACTGTCTGCTGTGCGACAGCAGTTTGATATATGGAGCAACAAAGTGCTAACGGCTGAGGGATTTGCACTCTTGTAATAGCTCTTATGAATTTTAACGTGGTAATATTAATAAATATTTTCAAAATGTACATTTTTCCCTTGGTTTTTTTTGTCCATAGTTGTATGCAGCCCAGGATCATATAATCCTAGTAATGGAATTCACTGTCTGCTGTGCGACAGCAGTTTGATATATGGAGCAACAAAGTGCTAACGGCTGAGGGATTTGCACTCTTGTAATAGCTCTTATGAATTTTAACGTGGTAATATTAATAAATATTTTCAAAATGTGTACAGTTTGTTTTGGTTACATCAACAGAACACACTTGTTTTTAAGAAATAATGCTTCATCAGCATATTGGTAAAATGTTTTAGGTCATACCACTTAGGACTACTTCATTTTTAAGGTCTTTAGAATATCTGCTAGGTTAATACCAGTAGAGACAACTAACTATTTAAGTCACGAGGGGAAAATACAAAAGTAGATGTATTTTGCATACTTAGTCCTTTGCTGATAGACCTCAGCTCCTCTCGACGCGGACTGGCGTAAGGAGTCTATATTGTCGTTTTCATCTACCTGTCCATTCAGTTGTTGGTTAAGAGGATTATAGTGAACAGTTCATGGTGTACATCCAGCACTGAAAAGTCATGAATGTTGCAATGTAGCCTCAAATGCAAAAACATCCTAAAAACTTTCTTTCAAGATGAATTATAATATCACTGCTGACCAGCTGGTAACTTCTTCCCAAAGAATGTAAAATTCCACTTGGGTCAGTCACCTGTTCCACCTTTAAAGATGCCGCGTTGAGCGTAACACTTTTGCTTTTACCTGAAGAAAACAAACAGTAACATAAAATACCATGGTACTTCATATGACACCCATCTTCTTCACTTTTGTAAGACTGTTGAGAATTACTAAGTGGTTGGCTCAATGCATTCCTTGTCATTCATTAACAGCCTTATTTAAGTTGGTATTCAGTAACAGAATCCTGTTTAAAATCCTACTTGTTTTGTATTTGCAGATCATACCCCATGCAAATTGCAAAGTTTTTAATAAATATTAGAGAGTTTATACTCTTTTCCCCTTAGCTCCTTTTCCTATCTAGTTCATGTATAAAAATGAGCTAGATGCGAAGGCCATTTTTAGCTCTTTGTCACACCTGGAAAATGGGGTTTGCAGGTGTTTGTTTTTTCAAGCACAAATGTGGACCACAGGTTTAAATACGTATGTCTTCAGGAACTGTTCTCTGAAAAAAGGAATAAAAAGAAATACTGTGCTACATCTAAGAAGTAATTTTTCAGTATGGTGTATTACCTTAAGATACTATACTATAAGCATCCCACTAATATACTGTTTACGTGACAGAGCCTGAAGCTCCAAACATTGTATTTTGATGTGAAGGACACAAAAATGAAAACAGTACATTTGAAAGTAACCAGTAAGACTGTACGATTTGCCTTTCCGGTTTGAATGAACTAAAGTAACTTTTGTATAAAACATATGCAACTAAGGCATTTGAAGAAAATGGAACACAAGCATTATTAGGATTCTACGGAGTGACACCTTTTATAGCTCAAACACTAGTAGAAACAGCATAACTAGCAGAATATATCAAATACCTCTTTTTATCAAATGCCATTTGACAATAAATAGCTGGGAAAGAGCGTGTTAAAAAATGTTTAGCAGTTAAGAAATTAAACTCTATTTAACTGTAATCCATAGAATGACTAAAGGCTACCTATTCCTTATTTTCGTGTGGTAATTAGAGATGAACAGACCACCGGGTCGTCACATTAGGCTGAAGCACTGCACGCCCACATGTTAGCTGCGTAATTTCCCACTCGCAACAGCGCTAAATTAGCTAGCATTAGTTTGAATTATTAATGGCTACAGAGAGAGCACGGTATGCAGTATTGTCTTTGTGAAAATACAGACTTTGTTTTTGCTAAAAAACCACCGTACCAAGTAATATCAGCACATGGAACTTCCTACAGTATGGATAGCAAATTAATTTGAGAATTACCCTCTGAAATGAATGCAGCTTTTTAAGGCAATAGCAATCTTGATTAAGCAGCATTTTGACATTTTTATATATTTACCTTCCTGTTGCACATCAGAAGCAGAAAGCTCTGGCTGGCAGACCATTTCATCAATTAAAGGCATTTATAGAATTGTATCTATACTTTGAGGGAGAATAATAAAGCTGATGCAGTGTTCACTCTGGTATTATACACACTAGAATATTGACTTTCTTCTCCATGCGTACATTTATGGATTTTAGCCCAGTGTAGAAATGATGCTTTTTGGTCCTCCTGATAGGTGAAATTCACTGTAATTCACGAAGTTTGCACACCCTTTAAGGCTTACTGGAAAAAGTAAAGTAAGTGGTTATAAAGGTTTGTCTTTAATTCTGCCTACTATGAACAAAAGCACTTTACACGAGTATTTGTGAACGTCCTCTCTCATTCACTGACTGCAGTCAAGTACAGATGCTTTATTATAGGCGCGATCTGCGGAAGAAATCCTGATCTCAGTTAACAGTGTTAACCTGGGCTTCTAAACTACTCTCGGTTTATGCTGGCTTAACCAAGAAAATAATTCTCATTTGTCAACGCACACATGCCGTATATATACAAATACACACCTCTCGTTGCTAAAATATTTTAGGTCTGCTCTCTTGTGTGGTTGGAGCCAGAAGAAAGAAATTTCTTTGCATATAAAACCATGGAAAAAAGTTTTCCTTGTTTATCTCTTCCCCAGAATAATTACATGTTAAACTTACTTTCATTTCCTCATGTTACGTCTGCTATGTGCTTGCTATTTTTCCACAATGTGTGTGAACTGATACTTGCATTCCTATTTTCACCATTTTTCGTAAGTTCACCTCTTCGCCACGAGGTACAATCTGTGCACACAGAAACACTCAGCACACTCCACTTTTCCAGATCATCCTGCCATTTGTGCAAAATCCGCAGCGGTGCTCTGTATCCAGCGGGAACTGGAGTGCTTGCTGTTTGCTGTGCCGTTTCTCCCTTTTTGCCAAGGAAACACGAAGCAGGCTAACTTCTTGAGTTCTACTAAATTGACAAGATTACTGACGAATGCAAGTGGCAAACTCAACATTTACGATCGACAGATTATACATATCCAACAAGACGAACTTGCTATTCCATTACTACAGTCTGCCTATTCTTTTCAACAATAGCTTTAATTATGCTGTATATTTCTTGAAAGCAATGATTTTTGTAAAAGCAGGAAACTGTTAAGTGTTACAGAAATAGCGTTACTATTAGCTAATAGCCCCAAATGAACCTAACATGAACGAGGTAACAAATATTTCTGGTAAGTTGACAGTCGATTGTTTTTAAAACATCAGCTTTTGTGCTGCTGATTATGTCAGTGTTTTCCTGGTACTGATTAATTAATATTCCGTATCAGTGTTTCCACGTAGCCTCAATAGGTAAACAATAAAAACTTTTGACTCCTCTGTAACTGATAATTGACATACAAGTTTGGAGTTTTCCTGTATTTATTGTAAAAGCGTATAAAATGAATCGGGCACATATTATATATGAGCAATTGGAACAACATATTAGGTTGTGTTTATTTTTTCTCTGCTATGGGAGTTGCTTAATGTGACATTTCAAAAGACCGAAAATTTACATTTTCAGTGTGGTTGAGCATAAGTATTTTTTAAGAGGGAAGAGGATTCTGGGAAGGAGTGGCTGTCTTCTCGAAACTGAACAAGTTATAAACTTTCTGAAGTAGTACTTACTTTTACCAAAAAGTGATAAAAAATTTGAATTCTTGGACAGCCAGAAAAATAGTCTGTGACATTCAGTTCAATGCTGTCTCCCCAGTTTGTGTTTTGTTTTCAGTGCGGCAGGAATACAGGGCAGAAGGTGTGTTTTTGCAGACAGAAAACCTATGGTAACACAGGCTGTGAAGAAAATCCATTGCCTGGTAAGAGGAATAAATGAAGCCTTTAGTTGGGTTGCATTAGATTCTTAAATAACATGTGCCTTTCAAAGCCTCCTACGTATTATGGAGCTATCATAGTTTAGATATTAAAGTTACCATCAAAAGTAACATCAAATATTTTACAACCATGACAGTATAGTTTATATTGCACCATATGAGAACAGAAGGGATTGTTTTCCAAAGTGAGGGAACCTTTCATCGTATCTTTTTCTTTCTTATCTGTATTAAAGACTTCAATTCGATGTCATTTAAACCTGGCTTTCAGTTTCACACCTCTGGAGATCATCGAGTCCGACACCTTGCTGAATGCAGGTTCAGCTACAGCAGGCTGCTCAGGGCCGTGTCCAGTCAGGTTTCGACCATCCTCAAGGATGGAGGCTCCACGACATCTCTGGGCAACACCCTCCAGTATTCAATCACCTTTACCGTAGGATTTTTTTTTTAATCTCCAACTAGAATTTCCTGTATTTCAATTTGTGCCCAAATACACTTCTCATTTACTTTTCTTATGACATTCTTTGAAAATCTCCCTATGGAATACCCGTATGACATTGTAGCTACGTTTTTCTTTTTTTGAACATTGCTATCGTAACACTCGTCTCCTCTGTCTCATATCTCCTCTCTTTCCTCTTTTTCCCCTTTTCCCTTTGAAATCTCTCATAAGTATTTAAGTGAATACCAGCACTTCCATTTCTGTGGTTTAAATGAGTAGTATAAAGAATCCTATTGCACACTAACTGTGCAATTTTATAATTACCTGAAACCATTTAGCATATCGTCTCTTCAGGCACCTACTTACACAGCTTTGAAGCCAAAGTCACGTGTAGTGCGATCCTACAAAAACGGACAAGGCCAAACCAAGAATTAATTTGTCTTGATTTCAACTGGGAAATAAGCAGAAGCAGGTGAAGTAGAAGCAGAAATCTCATATTCATGCCGATGCAGCTACGTAAGAACATCTGAGAAGCATATTCATTATCCAAGCAACAGACCTTCAGATACAAAATTATGCACCAGCTATCAGTGTGTCCG